AGCCCCGGTGCAGTGGCCAGTCCTCCATCTGGAGATGGTGCCTAAGCAGCAGGAGGAGAGAAGATCACCACCCTGCCGAGGTGATCACCCTGTGCTGATCCCCACAGCCTGGCCCTGTGCCTTCTCAGAGGAAACCCCCCACAGCCTCCCACAGCAGCGCTGAGCTTCCTCGAGAAGTGGCTCTCGATCTCGAGCTGGCTCTCACTCTGGCAATGGTGCCAGATCGGGTGGGAGAACTGGTAGGAGATGGCTTTGCTCTGGAACTCATGCCGCAGGGTGTTTTGCCTGTGGAGGGGGTCCACGGGTCAGAGCTGGAGGGGCTCTAGTCTGTGGGTGCACTGGCTCAGGCTCTCGAGCTGCTTCCACGGCTGGCTCGAGTCAGCGCGGGGGCACGTTCTAGTGCGTCAGATGGTTCTAGATCTTAGCGACTGCCAGGGCGGGCTCTGCCCCACGGCTCCTGCAAGGTCTGGTGCTAGAGATGCTCTAGCTCTGTATCGCCCACTTGCTGACTGTGCGTGAAATGCTGACCCACCGGTTAGTCTGGGAGCTCCGAGGGCAGGGAGGGTGTCTGGGGGTCCCCTCTGCATTCCAGCGAACAGACACAGGTGGGGATGATGCACGAGTGGATGAAAGAATGAACACAAGTCTGGGGCCCAGATCTCTCATCTGTAAGCAACATCCCCCGCATCACGGGGCTGCTGGGGGATCCCACTGATTCACTAAAATGTGAAGCGCTACCACCTCCCAGGCACGGTTTTGGGGGACGGAGACCCAGCGGTGAGGAAGTACGGTCCCTGCTCGTGTGGTACTGGCCGGAGCAGATGTCAAACGTGGGCTTCTGGTCCCCGGCGAGTGTCTCTAATCAGGTGGGATCAGTTGCCGGGAGCAGCGGGTCAGGCCCTTGCCCCTGTCTGGCAGCTCAGGACCGACCTGTGTGGGGCATGTGGTGAAGGGGATGCAGGATGCTTGGTCTGAATTCCCTGTAGCCATTACCCCCATATAGCCGATCGGGTCACCGTCCCGAGTTTTCTCATCCATGAAATGGGCAGGGGAGGAAAGCCTTTCATGGGTTCAAGAGCCTTATCCAAGTGCGAAAGTGGATCTAGATCATCTCTCGAGGGGGATTCAGCTCTAGCACCTGCCCCAGGGCTCGAGCCGGGGCCAACAGCGTTGCGAGCCGCAGCTCCCGAGACTGGAGCAGCTGCAGCTTCAGCTCTCACGCCAGCTCTGGGATCAGAGCCCGGTGTGGAGCCCGAGCAGCTCCGCCACCAGCTACGGAGCTCGCCAGCCAAGGGCCAGCACATTCACCGTCACACCCTCACCATCGTGCACGAAGTCAGGAGAGGGGCTGGGGGTGGGAGGGCCCCTGCTGGGCAGATCACCCGGGGTGCCTTTGTCACTCCACTCAGAGCTTGCCCTCCCCACCCCTCCCACAGGTCACAGCCCCAGCGGTCCCCACACCTGCTTCCCAAACAAGGCTCAAGTTGGACAAGCAGACCTGGCATGTTGGAAGTCGAGGCTTGTCCCTTAAACACTGTATATGTGTTGACCCAGAAACTCCACTTTATGGATTCTGTTGCAAATAGAGGTTTATGGACACGGGTGTTCCCTTC